ATGTGGAACAAAAAATCAAACACCAATGGGAGATACAACCAAAACAAAAAAGTAAACAATGACAAGTTTAAAGTCAACAAGAACCAATCAACATCAAGGTGTATAGAACAAGCTGTGAAACACATATGGAGAAATTCGAACACATGACTTCTATCTGAAGGTTGTGCTGCTGATGATGATGTTACTCGGAAAAACGATGTAAGTTTCACGACAAAACCATCCAGCTCAGAGAACAAAAGTCCATCAAGATTTCAATGTGTTTACACAATGACTTTATCTCATGAATTAGGCTATAATTCGTAAGAAATGTTTAGGATTTACAAGTGAATTCTTCATTGTTATATGTGGAATTAAAACAAACCCCCTCATACCATAAATTGATACGATGACTGATGGCTTTGCTTCTTTGGTGACTAATTCATTAGTCGACTGTTATTATTTATTTATTTGTTTATTTAAACACATAAATCTTGGTACTAGGAGGCAGCAAATAGATATGCGTTACGTAAATCATTCGATTTGTGTGTAGGTTGGGATACTAACCAGGTGCCCAGACCAAGATAGGTGGTTTTCTCAAGGGGCCAAACCCGGTGCCTTTGACCTAAAGGTCTGATCCACAAAGCAGTGTAGTAACGTAAGGAAATGCAGTTCCACGATAGCCGGTGATCAATAATAGAGTTACACGTCGTTTGTTCCATCAGGATACTGAAACCCATGTGCACCATTAGTTTGGAATCAGAGTTTTCCAACTCCCTTAAGTGAACCCTACGTGTCCACGAACCCGGTCAAAGCGCAGGATATTCGCTTTCCATCCTCTCAATCTCGTAAATAACACCCCAACCGCGGGAAAGTATTGAGTAGGACTTTTCTGGTAGAGGCTGTATACGTGTGTCCTTGTGACAGTATTTGGGAAGGGAGAGCTGAATCTCTTCACTCTCAACCGTACCAAGGTATTTGGGGGCAAATTTGTTTCTACAATATATTTTTATTAGTATCAGAAGACAATGGTGGATATGTCTCTCAATTTTGGTGGATCAATTTAAGTAAGACATTAACACCATTGAATGCTGGCCGACTCAATAGTCTAGAGGTTAAGGGCTCACATGCGAAACTGATAGATCGTGTGTTCGAATCTCACGAGACAAAATCGTGCATACGTACTGCTGAGGAGTTCCATAATAGGACGAAACAACCGTCCAGTACTTCCAGGTTTTCTATGTTTGTCTAGCTTCAATCGACTCATGATCTCAACTATTGAAAAATTTCAATAAGACAAATTTAATATCATAATTGACGTGAATAAATTTCACTTAGAAATATAAATGAAGTTGATAGTCACACAGTTTGAATTAGTTATCAACCTGATAAGTTTAAACTATTGACCATTCTATAATTTAGAATATTTACATCAAACTTGTCCATCGGATTTTTAAGTTAACTGAAATACATAATTCACTTGGTATTATTTAGAGTGTATCTTCCCATTAAGGTTTAAGCCTTCGATTGATTAGTCTGTTATTTATATGTGTGCATACTACGCGTATGCCTCGATATTGCCTTAATTCACAAGCTTTTTGTAAACAATGATGGATAGTGGTTAGCAGTGGAATCCAGGACGCACGTTTCGTCCTATTTTGGACTCGTCAGCTGAGATGCAGGTACATCCAACTGACAAGTCCCAAAGAGGACGAAACGCGCGTCCTGGATTCCACTGCTAGCCACTAACCATTATTGCTTACAAAAAATGAAATACATAATCATAGAAATCATCGACAGTTTACTGAAGTACAAATCGTTTGATCAGTTTTTCATTGTATAGTTAATAAGTAATTAGGAATGAATTTCGTGTTTAAAATCAGTAGATTTTAGTAATCAGTAACCGTTCATTTCAAACGCCATTGTGTTACAGTAGATGAGTGAATAACGCGTTAGTGTTTGAAGCGAACGGTGCTGGGTTCGAGTCTTGGAGTGAACATCAACTCTGAGATGCAGGTACATCCAGCTGATGAGTCCTAAATAGGACGAAACGCGATCCTTAGATTCCACTGCTCACCACAACCTATCTTTGCTTATAATGTTTGTAACTTAAGGCTATATTGAGGTAGTCTGCACAAGATGCATATATCCCGATAAGAGACTGATTAATCCCAGTCCTAAACAACAATGAGAAGATACAAAGAAACAATAGCAAGTGAATTAAGTTTGAGAAGAGTTTGTGAAACAGAACGTATTAATTTGTAATCTCAACATGCAACAAATAACTCATCTCTCATTGTAGATGTCCATTCTAAGTAGAGTATAATCAAATCATAAGCATTTTCAAGAAACTTTGGATAATATCTCACAGTAGAATTCAGATTGTATCTCTCATCTTATATGTAACTGATCAGCTGAATATGCATTGAAGTTCATATAGGGACTCGTGCTCAGTGCTATTCTTCTTGTATGTACAAAGTATTATTAAGAGTTGTTCTAAGTTCCAGACAGTTACATTTTGCCTTTGTTAATTATCAATACCCTATTCATCACATATCTATAAATAGTAAGTTGCCCATTATCAAATTGAGTTAATACGCTTACCTCCTACGGTCAGACTCTTGATTCTGTTTATCTAACTTTCTGTTTAGGATAAACGACTATATAATAGATACCTATGCAAAATTCATTCTTGTATTTAGCTTATTTTGTTCTTTAATGTGAACTAAGTTGATCAGAATATACGAGTGTTAGCAGTATGTATATTTTGTTGACATTATAGTGACCTACTTTTATCAAAAGAACGCGATTGATTTAATGAAAACAATCATTATTATAACCAATTGTACCACTGATTGTTTTACTATGCTCGTTTGTTTAACTGTGCTAAAGACAGCCATATGACTACTCCATTATCCTTCGATTGATTTTGACCTTGTACGAATTCAGTTACACTTAGTAACCACACTTGTACTTCTTTGGCACGATCTCAGTATTCTTTCGATACCTCGAGATCATCAACAAATACATCTCGACTACAGCCATTAACTGTCTTCTGATATTTGGCTTACGGGAGATTTTATCGGTTAACTGGCACGCAGTCTTCTTGTCGTGGTGTTCATAGTCAGCCGCGACTCGACACCACGCTACAACATCAAATCGAATTAAAGTCAGATCAACGAATCATTTAATATTTACTTTTACAAAGAGAATGAATTTTCTTTCATCTGTGTTTAAATCTTTTCCCTTAAGGCCCAAAAAAAGCAGAGGACGATCATAGAACACATGACGCCAAGAAATCGAGTCAGACATTAGAAGAATGAATAACAATTGGATAGAACTAGAAAGGAAGGGTTAGGACAGAGTGAGTTGGAGAATGTTGGTCGGCGGCCTATGCTTCATTTTGGGATAGCATACGTAAGCAAGTAAGAAGGTAAGTCAAATCTTCTTATTTTTTAATGCTAAAGACAAGTCAAACGCTATATGAACTCATTACTTAAGTAGTTAACAAGTTAAACATTTAAGACGAAACACAATAGATTCGAGTCCTTGAATGAAAATCAACAAGTATCTAAGTAAATCCAAACCGATAAATTTCATAAAGAATAAGAAACACGATCTGGATCATGTAAGTGTTGTTTAGGCGAAACTATAATTCATGGACGATCTTGAACGAATGTCGGATGACTTTGAACAAGATTAACCTATCAGAAAACAGTCAGTATAAAGTAAAAATATATGATACAAAATCAAAGAATTAAAGTGGATACATTTCTTGTACGTGGTTCAAAAACTTGTCAAGGTTAGAAAGCGGTTCATAGGTTCTAAAATCATAGTATATACAATAGAGGATATCATCCATGTGACTCCATCATAGTTGGCCTCTGGAACCATGATAAGGTCGCAAAAACTATTTCAGACTCGACCATATAGCTTCAATATTGTTAGTGTGTACTCCGGTTTGTTTGATCCACAAAATCCCACTTATGGATAACAACAAGATTCATATCAACAAGTCCATGCAACCACACTCTCCAATCATCCTTATATATTGTAGTACCTGTTTACAATCAGTGTTACGGGTACTTTTATTATCCGGTTTGCAATTTGATTTAGTCTCAATCTGGATCGAGCGAATAAACTCTATTCTATCAGACTTCTTCCTTCAAAACATATCACATCGAAAGATAACATCATCACGTTAGTTTGTACAAGGTCCACACGTCATTTAATTACCACAATCACAAATAAAGGAACTTCTTAATAATCCAGTTGGTTGTTGTCACTGAATGATCACACTATGAACTGATTGTATTTAAACATCAAGTCCTGAAATTAGCGCCATGACCTTGAAATCCTTCAGAAACCCTTCTGATTGGCTTATTCATAAATTTCTAATCTCAACTTGATCTTAAATCATATTTGAAAATACCTATTCTATATAAAAATATTCCAATATGGTTTATGTTAGTGAGTGTTTTCCTTTGAAAAAACAAAGAAGAAACTAACAGAAGAAGAAAACTGTCTAGTTTATCATACTTTATTGTTATAAATTACAATGTAGAATCATTTTTTTTCTCTTCAATTACTCATACAAACATACAATCAGTGTCACTCTCAACTAGCAATCAACCAGTCATTAGAAAATGTAGTGAATTTTATTTCAGTTTTCGATTCTCTATAACAACTATCTTATCATTTTTAGCATGATTTATGTAGGTATTTAGTTCCGTCGTACTTTAATTGTTTTTCCAAATGTATCGAATCTTAATAAGACAAATCATTTATCATATGATTTGTAATTATACACTACACACTGCACACTGCACAATTTCATCGATTTACATTATGCACAGTAAAACACAACATCACTATTACCGTCATTATTATCATTATTAGATTCATTTGTATGATTATAATTGTGATTGTGCTAGTGAATTCATTATTTCAGATAGTTTTGTTTAAATTTGATCATACGTTTTTTCTTCCTTTCTTTAGCAAACAAATTAAATAGGACTAATCTGATGTTTCCCCTTGTTGTTATTTTGTTCGTTCTTTTCGAAGGGATAAATGGAGGTGGAAGTAAGTTATACTGTATCATGTAACTATTCATGATTATTAATACATATGAAATCATAATTGAAATATATTTTAATAATGTTAATTGAATGTAATGTATGTGTAAGTAATTGATACACTGGAAGAGTAGGTGTTGTTTATGACATGTAATTTCAATAGTTGAGATCATGAGTCGATTTAAACTAGACTATCATGGAAAACCTGGAAGCACTGGACGGCTTTTTTGTCCTAGTATGAGACTCCTCAGCAGTGCGCATTCAAGATCCGGCCTCGTGTGATTCCAACACAGGACCTATCGGTCTCGCGTGTGAACGTTTAACCTCTTGATCATTGAGCTGGACGGTATCCAATGGTTTTACTGTCTAACTTCAACTAATTCAAGAAGTTCAGCAACACACCTACCATTGTTTTCTGATACGAATTGAAAGGGGATTTGTAAAGACTTGAATACAAACCAATGGTGCACATGGGCTCCAGGATCCTGAGGGATCGATTGGAGTATGAACTAGTTATTGGTGACCAGCTACTATGGGAGTGCATCTCCTGACGTTGCTCCAGTGCCCTGTGGATTAGACCTTTAGGTCAAAAGCTCGATGTGTGGCCTCCTAATAAAACCACCCGTTTCATTTTGGGCACCCGATTAGTATCCCAGCTCTCACACAAATCAAATGAGTTTGGTGTGGCGCATATGTATTTGATGGTTTCTTGTACTAATATTTATGCGTTTAAAAAAATAAAATAAATATAACGGGTAGTTGTAGAGATTATTGACCTTAGATTGATATTATGAATGCATCAACGTTAGATCAACATTGAAAACCTGGATCCATTGTGCCGCCGTTTCATTCTAGTAATATAGGACTCCTCTAACAGTACACGTCCACCGTTCAGCACACAGGATCCGAACCCATGACCTTTGGTCTCGTACGTGAACTCTGAATCTCTAGACCACTGAGCCAGTATTGTTTAATCTGATACCAGCGAGCTATAAAACTAAAGCATTTAGTTGATTATCTATCCTTAACTTTCAAGAAGAACATGTTAAATGACTGTGCCAAATTGCATCACGTTGATATTGCTTGTATGAAAAGTAACCATTGTGATATTTTGTGAAATATTAGTGGCGAGACTATAGTTTATGGACGGACCAATCAGCTTTAGGAAAACAGGTATAGGATATTGGCGCGAAATTCATTCACTCATTTGGTCAATTAGCGTCTTAGCATTTTAGCTGATGTCAGTTCACGATGAAAACTATAGATCTAATGACTAAAACTAACCATCAATTACGAATCATAACCCTTATTTTTCAAACTGATTTATAACCATCATTTAGCCCTAGTAAATAGGTATACACTCTCAAAGTCATTTAGGCGTCGCTCAAAGGTCGTCCATAAATTATAGTCTTACCATACTCATCTGTTACACTTCTCAGTGGATGGCCTATCCGTATATTATTTTGTTTCGGAATTTTAATACTAACAGTCTTCAAAGATTGGATCATTGAGTTTTCTTTCAAAGTTACTACCGTTTGTCTTTGTACACACCATTTAAACGATTACCGGCGAATTGGAAAATGCTGACATGTCAAAATTGTTTTGTCATGTAATAGGTAGCAAATAATTTAAAATAGTTTAGTATAATTTATTATCAATAGTTGAGACCATGAGTCAGTTGGACGTAGACCATCATTGAAAGCCTGGAAGCACTAGACGGCCGTTGCGTCCTATTGTAGGACTTTTCAGCAATGCACATCCACGATCCCGCGACAGACTGATAGGTCCTGAGTTCAAATCCCACGAAGCGAGGTCGTGGATACGCACTGTTGAGGAGTCCCATACTGAGACGAAACGGCCTTCCAGCGCTTCTAGGTTTTCCATGGTAGCATAGCTTCAATTGACTCATGAATTTAAGTATTAAATTACTATAATATCTACAAAACTCCTATCTGAGTTTACCATAACTACGAATTACACATGATGGTTCCATGTCATTCTTGATAGACTAAATGAATTAGAAGTAGACTGAGAATGATGAAATATCACTAATTGGTTGAGATTTGTAACATAGACCTGTGAAGGCTGATTTAATGTTGAAATTCTAACTTTTATCAATGAAATGTAAAGATAAGATTTATTCAGAGCACAAATGGATGCTACTGAAATTCCTTTACATCGACTGTAAGATCATTCATCAAGTGGAATGTATTTTACGTACAGTAACTTGAAGTGAAGCGGTCTTGACTCTTATTTTATACTTTACATGACACGGACATTGATATTTACTTTTAATTTATTTCTATTTACAGAAGCTCCAAGTAAGTGAACTTCCATGTGTCTGTATATCATCACCATCCAATTTTGGATAGTGCTTAAATCTTAATATGTACCTCCTAAGCAATACAAATCCACAACTTTATAATGAGACCCTTCCCTTTGATATCAATTAGACCGCACAACGTTGTCGATGGGCTCACCAATTCAGTGGCACGGGATCTGACTCCAGTGACATCGTTTCTGATTACCATTGAGATATACATATGGTCAATCCTCGTATATTATCATCGACTTAACTCGCATTAGTCAATAAGGGAATTAAATAAGTCAAATATAAGAATGGATTATTGAATGTGTATATTTCATGCACTCATTGATTTAGACAAGCTGTCGAGGAATGAAGCGAAGAGAAGAGGGTAAAGCGAAATGACGCGTGGTAGAGAGTGCATGTGAGCCAACTCCATTTAACCGAGCGTTACTCAATATCTACGGTCAAACAAAAATAAGTTACTGACATATAATGAATGCGTTGAGAAGAGCACACACATATGCCCTCGTATAAAAACAGTCAAGATTGATAAGCGAATAATTAACAAGGTCAAAATGTGACTCAAATAGAATGAATAGATTGGCCTATCCAGAAGCTAGAACAAGGTAATATTGGCTTAACATATCAACTGACACTACAACATTAAGATATCATGACGAACAAATGACCACTGAAACCATTGGATTAGACAGTAACGGAAAACATTTTCAAAATACAATCAATTCACTACTTACCGGCACATTTATGCCGAATGTCTACGTAAACTTCAAATTCATCTAGGTGATTTCTAAATAAAACATCAAGAACTTATCTTAAATTCGGTCGTAAACGAGGTGAATGTTGTAGTTTAGATGAAAGTGCTTTACGAATATGATAATAATCTGTTAGTAGAACCTATCATCAACTGGTGTTTATACATTTCTGGGGGTTAAACTATCACTCATCCAAGTGAAATGGTTATCAAGGAGATACATAGAATCATTCCTCACAACGGAATGAGTAGAGTTATATTGTTAGGTTGAAGAATGCTGGTCGGCGGCTTATGCTTCATTGAGAGCAACAGGCGTAAGTAAGGAAGTAATTATTCAGTTACTATTAAGGAATCATTATACAAGCACATTGAAAAGAAATCCTGAATAAAGGTACAAACACATAGACATGTTTAGAAGTGATACACTTACCAATAAAGACAATTATCATTACAAATTGCATAACTAATCATTATGTGATGTGTACTACTTTTATACATAAATATGAGTAGTATGCAGTAGAAAACGAAAATGGAATGTTCACCAAACGATAATTAAATTAATGAGAAATAGAAAGAAAACACAAATCAATCGGATACACAACAGGATTGAAAGTATCATGAAGAATGTAAAAGAAAACTGAGAGAAGATGGATAGATGACGATGATGATGATGATCTATGATTTTCATCCTTAACAAACTCACAGTGGGGTTGTCCGCACAACAATCCATCTGTGATCAATATATAGTGAATCATAATTACGTAATAAGTGGAGATGATGACAGTACAGATTTCGGTGAGACAATAATTCATGGACGAGCCAATCAGAAGCGTTTGAGAGATTTCAAGGTCCCAGCGCCAACTTCAATACTTAATGCTAATGTACGATCAGTTCATAGGGGATTTTATACAGAACATGATAATTAGGCCGCTATAACAAATAAAACGGCGGGACTATAATTTGTGGACGAATCAATCAGGTATAAGATAATAGATCTCGGGTTTTAACGCGAAAGCCTTTCAACCATTTGGCTAATTAGATTTTTGGCATTATAGCTGATGTCAGTTCGTGATGAAAACCCCATATATATAGTTCCTAACTAAGGCAAATTATGACAATTATCGCGAACTGGATAATAGAAGTACCAGTAACACTGGTTGCAGCCAGGTACTACAATATATACGGATGTTTGGAGAGCGTACAGACTCCTACATTGGCTTGGTTATGTGCATCGTGTTGTTATCCACAAGTAGCATTTTGTTCACTCAACAACCGGAGTGCACATAAACAATATTAAAGCTGTGTGGTCGAGGTTGAAAGAGTTTTTGAGACTTTATTGTGGCTCCAGATGCCGACTATTCTGTAGCTGTTTGGATGATTTCCTCCAATGCCTGCCTTACGATTTTAGAACCTCTGAACCTCTCTCTAACCTTGACAAGTTTTTGAACCACGTCTAAGAAGTGTATCCAATTTATTTCCTTGGTTTTGTATAACATATTTTTACTCTATACTGTTTGTTTGCTGATTGTCTAATCTTTCTCAAGGTCACACAAGAGTCGTTCAAGGTTGTCCATAAATTAGAGTCTCGCCATCGATCAATTCGCTAGATAGTCTTGTGCAGTATATAGATTGAGTAAAACGTTTTACAGCCTTTCTCTGACTTCGTAAGATCATATCGAGGAACTGATGTATGATCTCGTTGCTATGGTAACAAAGCTTGTAGCCAAGATTCTCCATTTTCTTTGTTTGTTATATGTTGGAATAAATTCGTCTTTAATAATATATAGATACCTATGATGTCTGCTGTAGGTATTGTCTAATAGTAGTATGGGCACCAACAGAACTTCTAAACAGTTTCTGATATCAGTCTATATACTTTGTATGACTATATTCCAAAACTAAGTCTTAAAACACTAATCAATATGTCCAATCATAATTGTTATATTGTAGTGCTCATTAGTATACCTAGAGGTAAGTACATAATCATCATTTTGTTTAGAACAAAATCATTCACTTTAGACCCTACATTAACATCCATATATGTGTATCTTTATATGTTACAATAGCGCTTACAAGAACTATGTTTTAAACTCTTATTATATGAAAACAAATACAGTAAATTGTTGAAATGTATGTGGAATCATTTATGTAACTAGGAAGCATTATCAATGCAGAAAGAGGATCTAATACAGACATGAAGGTAACGATTGGCAAAGGATGAGTCGTATTCATACAACTGAAGAATATATGGAATTCAATATGAACGTCAACGCTCTTCTACTATTGATGTTTAGAACTATAATTGATCAGTATTGAGTTCGAGTCCCGGTGTGAACATCAAATTTGGAATGTAAGTCCATCTAGCTGACGAGTCCGATATAGGACGAAACGCGTCTCACACTTCTATCAGATAATAGAATTTTAAATTCCCATCGAAAATCTATCATAGATGAATTCAATGCAATGGAATGAAAACAAACTGTTTGTATATTCCACTAATTAGTGCAAAAGGAATAGTATTTGATATGAATTTTTGATCATTACGTCGATGGTTAAAAAGAGAGTAATCCTGAATCTTCTAAATGAAGAAGAAGACAGTTCTACTGTAAGGATCTGAAACTTGGAGAACTACAACAACCACCATCAAGAAGGTACAAGTATTTATAAATAGCTGTCTACGCAAGATACTTTACATCCATTGGCCGGATACCATCAGCAATAGCCTTCTGTGGGAGACAACAAACCAGCTTCCAGCTGAAGAGGAAATTAGGAAAAGACGATGGAAAGGGATAAGACATACATCAAGGAAATAATCAAACTGCATCACGAGACAAGCCCTAACTTGGGATCCTGAAGGAAGACGGAAAAAAGGAAGGCCAAAGAACATATTACGTCGGATAATAGCAGATATGAAAAGGATGAATAGCAACTGGAAGGAGCTGGAAAGGATTGCACAGGACAGGGTTGGATGGAGAATGCTGGTGAGCAGCCTATGCTCCTTCATGAGGTGTAACAGGCGTAAGTAAGTAATTAAAATCCTGAATCTGTATTAGTTTAAGTCATCAACTATTACAAAGAAGCGAATGACTGAAATTCCATACTGAATACAATCGACTAATATTGTAATGAACGACAACACACAAGTAGAGACAATCGAATGTATTTGAACACACAAAATGTCAATCAATTGTCTCAAACTTCATTGTTCCTTAATTTCCACATCAATCCTTCACTGTTCTCGTTCTCTTTTCCTCGATTTTCTTAATCTTCCGCAACAAGACACTTCACTTTCGAATGATGTAACATACTACTTATATCTGTCGACTTCAGTAGTACACAGCACACTATTAGTATTATTAGTACTGTTACAATTACTGTAGTGAACGAGTTCACATGTGGGGATAACCAAACGTACTTAAACATAAAGTTACAGATTCTCTTAGTAAAATCTGAGAACCATACAGTAAATATCAGTCAATCATCTCAAACTTGATTGTTCCTTCATCTCCACAGCAATCACCTTCTGCCTCCCTCCCCCCAGGTATTTCACTTCCGATTGATAATACATACTGCTACTACTTATATTTGTTGACATCAGTAGTACACAACAGAATATGTTCATAATTATGTCAGGAATGAAATATCTGTATATTTTATTTCATAATTAGTCATTATTTTAAATATTAGGGAAATGAATAATTTTCTAATTGTTCATCAAATGATCTACATTAGAGTTTTTCCCAAAAGAAACTGTAACAGAGTAAGTTTCAATGAATCATTTTCATTATCTTTTCTACTTATGGTTAGCATGTTTTTAGCGAGTTAATTATCTGCAGGATGGGGTTGCTAAGCTCATGCTCAACTCTTCTTCTTTATCCGGGTTTGGGACCGGTAGTAGCTTCCATGAGGGCTCCAGGCAGTTAACACGATAGAACACAGATTATCAATGTGTTGAAATATTTTACTTATTAAAGAATATAGATACTAATTATTAAGATGAGATAGCGGCTAAAGGTAATTCGAAACCAAAGTTTTGTGTTATTTGGCACTTGTCAGCAAAGGGTACCTGTAATCTTGAGGGAGCTAATGTTCATTGACGGATTTGATCTCGTGTCACAGAGCTTCACATTCAGAGACGTTATCACTGTTCTATTTTGGTTGCGACTGAACTCCTGTAAGACTGAGATCTATTTACAATTGATTGATCACTAGATGGTGATCAATGTCATGTGTGTCAGGTCTTTTTGAATGCAGATTGAATCCTAACGACCAATTTGCAAACCTAGGTCTTGAATTTCCTATCGACTACCTCAACATTGTGCACGTAATGGTGAGTCACGTAGACTAGTAGCCACATTACAAATTGGCCGACAGGATACAGTCTGCACTAAGCAGAACCTGACAAACATGATATTGATCACCATTCAGTGATCAATTAATTGTAACTACTTCTTACATTATAGTATAGTCTATTTTTATAAGTGGTGTAAGATGAACAGGGCTTCTTTTAAAATAGTTGAATTCATGAGTCAATTAAAGCTGGATTACCATGGAAAACCTGGAAGTAATGGACGGCTGTTTCGCTTCTTGCAACATCGTGTTCTCCACTTAGCTACTGAGTCCTAATATTCACCTACTTGTGCAATGGGGTGAACTCGATGTTGTTTTACTTGTATCTTCTCATTGTTATTTAGGACTGTAATTAATCAGTTTGTTATTGACATATGTACATTCTGTGAGAATTGCCTCGATCTAGTGTTAAGTAATAAGTTTTTTAAACAAAGATGAATAGTAGCTAGCTATGGGATACAGTTTGACTCGCGTTTCAATCCCCAAATGCCCTGGTACGGCCGAGAGTGTGGAGAGTCCGCTCTCTCTCTCGAAATGCTTTCACATGGTCACGCGTATATAGCCTCTGCCAGGGAAGTCCTACTCACTGTCTTCTCGTGGCATTACTGTTGTTTACGAAAATGAGAGGACGAAAAGCGAATGTCCGGCGCATTAACCAGATTCCAAACCAATGGTGCACATGGGCTCCATTATCCTACGGGAACAAATGGCGTATGAACCAATCGTTGGTCACCGGCTACCATAGGACTGCATCTCCTTACGATGCTTCACTGCCTTGTGGGTCAGACCTTTAAGTCGAAGGCTCGAGGAGTGGCCCTCTAAGAAAACCACCTGCTTCGGTTTGGGCACCCGGGCAGTATCACAGCCATCACACATATCGAATGAGATTTGTGTGGCGCATATATATTTGGCGCCTCATTGTACCAATATCTATGTGTTAAAAATAAAATAAATAAATAAATAGCATCTCACAGTTGATGTTCACTCCGGGACCCGAACCCAGTACTGTAAAGCACTACCTGGATTCAGACTAACAGTGGAAAAGTGATATATGATGAAAGAGACTAGTTATTCACGATCACGGGGAATGTAAAGGCTATTCAAAAATTTATGACCAATACATTTGATCACTGAAGACATTGATTTTGATACCTCAGTTGGTTAGCATAGTAAACACCGTCATAGAAGACTATCTCCAACTATATGAAAATATTATGCAATGCTTGTCTGGAAGATTAAAATATTCATATATCTTAACAGATATATCTTGATAAGTTCATAATTAAAGGATGATAGTCAGTCAGTCAGCTACAATGTAGGACCAGGCATATATATGCATCGATCCAAGTTGCCATACCTGATTAGTTGAGCAAGCTGAACACCGGACTCAATGATAGTAATATATAAAAGAAAGATCCCATTTACAGATATAATACAGAAAGGAAGAATTAGTTGGTAGAAAGCAAGATATAAAGCAATTTTATTCTTGCAGATCACCATGGAAAATCTGAAAATACTAGACGGTTGTTTCGTCCCAGTATAGTACTCCTCATCAATGCTCATCTACAATCTCGCTTATACAATTCGAATTCAACTATTAACTTATAACAATCTTCACAAAATCCTCTTTTTGATAATAAAAGCATTCCGAGTTTTTTCTTTAAAAGGATTATGTGTTTGTTTATTTTGCATTTTAACATTATAACTTCAGGGTGGAACCAACTTGGGAGTATGTTATGCATTGTTAAGAAAAATTGTTACCTATGTCTTTATTTATATCATTTTCTATCACATTCCTGTGTATATACGATACTTATAAATGGATTCTAAATATAAAAACTACTATTTATATGTATTGTGATGACTTGATCTTTTAGACACAATGTTATTAGTCGTTGATATACTTACACGCCAACACCTAATAACATTGGTTGATATGGATAAGAGTCGATCACAATGGCGTAGGTATATATACATATTTACTACCATTGAATTAACTACTTCTATGAATTTGTGGCTCATCTTGTTGTGCTCATGTGGTATGGTCACTTGAACCAATGCATATATGTGCCTGTTCCTACAATGTAGCTGACTGCCTGACATTGATGTGCAATGTTGACTAGTGTTGGAGACTGTTAGAAGAAAGTTAGGGGCGGCCGAACCAAAAATGTGACATCAATCCTTGAAGTCACTAACTTTTAGTCTGAGCCATGGTGATGAATGCAGAATACTTGGTTGTGGTCTGCGTGATTATCGTAACCAATGTTTGGAGACTGTGGGTGCTGTACTAATGAGGTATGACAACTTGAACTGATGCATATGTACGCTTGGCCCTACATTGTAGTTGACTGGACTGATTGGTCTTATCATGAATGTTATTAAGGATATTCTAATGTTTCTCAATTCCATAATTCAACATTTCTGAGGTTATCTAAAATCTGTATTATACAGAATTACAACAACCACAATGTGAGTTTATTTTATGAGTTTTTTTTAAAAGGAACTACATTAATTTAAAATAAGATAGAAGATGATGGTTGGAGGTAGTCAACAGTGAACGCAATGTCGATTGATCTAGACTAGTGACCATGTGGTGTGTGCTACTTATATCAACATAAGTAGTATATAACACTGGCAGTAGAATCTAAAGAAGATCAAGGATGAAAGAATGGAAACAGAAAGCAACTGATATGAAGATACAAGAACAATAAAATCTGAGACGATGGACTGATATTTACAAAAGGAAACAATCAAGTTTGAGACAATGGATTGATATTTCGCAAATGAACTATTTACTATATAGTTCACAGATTTTAATGAGACAGTCTATAATTCGATGGTCCCTACTTGTGTTCTCGTTTACTACAGACACATTACAACTTTGATCGATAGGATTCTATCTGACCTAAAGAGGATCTGACGTACATAACATTGATCAACACTCAGTGATCAATCAATTTATTGATCAGTAATAAACATTTATTGATCAACTGTACAGGAACCATGAAGGGGGGTTCATACGTTGTTGTTTTCAATGATGAATATTTAATTCAGAAATTGGTTAACTGCTTCAATCTGTTGTTCAGGTGAGAATTTAGAATCGGATACATCAATTATTACCGTAAACACTTCAGTACTGTATGTTCAAAAGTCAAGATCCTCTCTTTTATATTGGGTTTTTAGATCATGTTTGATATGATCATAAATTATTGGATGGATTCATTTTCAATGACCAATTTTACTACATAAAGGATGTTATGACGTGCAGTGTTCGAAGTCTAATACTGAGACATGGTATACTTAGCCTTAACCCCCTCAACTGACCACTTGAGCGAAAACAAAAGAGTAGGTGAGAAAGTGTATTGGACTACCGAATGAAATATATAAATACACGTCCATATATATACCATTCTAACCTTAGGAAATTGATTCAATGACCCAATGAACTGAACTTGATCCTTAAACGAATTCTGATTGCCATTGATTGACCTTTTCATTAAAATGGCTTCTGTTTCATTCATCCTATCAAAAGAGATTTAGATGTTCAGATGTTAGGCGTTTGCATATGAGATCTAAGGTTGTGAGTTCGATTACTGTACTGAGGGTTGATGATTGTATAGCTAGTGAATCTTACACTAGAACGAAACGACCGTCTACGGCTTCCAATTTTAGATAAGACCAATTTTCCTATTCATAGATAACTGTTGTTATGATTATTATTATTGTACGTTTATTGTACATGAATGAATATTCATTTAGCCTACCTTATCCAATATCAGACCAATCCATCTCTTTATGGTTTGTGAAATTATCCAATTGTACAATTTGTAATGTTTCTTGCTAGAGAACCTACGACGTGAGCGCTTAACAAATGTTCTAATTTGTTATAACTTTCAAAAACATTAATATTATTATTATTATTATTATTATTATTAGTATTAGTATTAGTATTAGTATTGGTAGTAGTAGTAGTAGTAGTAGTAGGAGGAGGAGGAGGAGGAGGAGGAGGAGGAAGAGGAGGACGAGGAGGACGAGGAGGACGAGGAGGACGAGGAGGACGAGGAGGAGGGGGAGAAGGAGGAGGAGGAGGAGGAGGAGGAGGAGGAGGAGGAGGAGGAGGAGGAGGAGTATCAAATGTGTATTGAAATGTTTGAATGACATGTAGGAGATATACTCTACAATTTGTCAAATTTTACATTCACAAATTGTATGATCAATTATTAATTTGATACGTTTGTAGAATATGCTACTGATATCGACAGATATTAGTAGTATGTAACATCAGTCGTAAGTGGAAAATCTGGCAGCAGTAAACTAAGAAGATCAGGGAAACAGAAAGAAATTTTGGACTAAAAGAATCATAAAGAATGTGGCGAACAAATGATGGAATTTTACAAATGAAGTATTCAATATATAGTTCTCATATGTTACCAAGAGATCCAGTAATTTTGTACCAACTTAAGATGGTTTCCCCTTGTGTATTCCTGTTATTGTTTCATACTGAGACAAATTGTTCGTTATATCGCCCTATCAGAGAGAAAATCTTTGCTTACTTACTTACGCCTGTTACCCTTAATGAAACACAGGCCGTCGACCAGCATTCCCCTAAACCACTCTATCCTCGGCCTTCCTTTCTAGTTCTATCCAATTGTTGTTTATTCTTCTCATATCTGTCTACATTTCTTGGCATAATGTGTTCTTTGATCTTCCTCTTCTCTTTTGGCCTTGAAGATTTCAGATGAGGGTTTGCCTTGTGACGGTGAAGAAAATACGGTAACTGCCAAATTAACCTAAGAGTATATCCAAGAACTAGACTGATACCACATTAATAACAAGTATGGATCATGTTTATGATTATAGTTTTTGGCAGTTTATTAATAGTTGAATATGTGTAGTTTGTATTAGAATTCCGTTGATGTAAATTTATAACCCTTGAGATATTCATTACGTAACTGTTTTGTTTTCTAGTGAAGATATTGAAGAATCATCGTAAGTTTAATGGAACTTTCTATTTACCTCTCAATTGCGAACGATTATTAATATTTTCAATGAAACCATTTGATTACATCATGGTGTATTTCATTATTCGTTATTATAATCATCATCACCAATGTAGGAGTAGGCACACATATATGCATCAGTCCAAGTTGCCATACCTAATTAGCACATCAAGACGAACGCCGGATTCATAGAAGTAGTTAATTCAATAGTGATAATATATAAAAGAAAGATTGTGTATAAGGATATGATAGACGAAGAAAGAATTAGTTGGTAGAAAGAAAGATATAAAGCGATTTTAATCGCATAGTTTAGAGGAGGACAGAGAATGTATACACCGATGCCATTGTGATCGATTTTGAGCCACGCCACCCAAAGTCTCCAACTATTGGTTACAATAGTCACGTCAACCTCAACCAATTAGTCTGCATTTATCAACTTGGCTCACACTACAAGTTAGTGACTTCATGGACTGATGTGACATTTTGGTTTAGTCATGCTAGTTTGACAATAAACAAATCGTATTTCCAGGTTTTCCATGGTGATCTAGCTTCAATTGGCTCATGGTCTTAACTGTTTAAATTACTATAGTCTCCACAAAATACCTTCTGATACTAATCAATTTATACTCACTAGTGACTGGCTTCAAGATATATATCCTGGAGTTCTAGTGAGAAGCAGTGACCAGGTAGTAAATCACTGATGACAATGGTGGATGTGTCACTCAATTTCCGTGGGTTATTTGAAGTTAGACATTAACATCGTTAGGTACCGGCCTAGTGGTGTAGTTGGTTAAGCTCCTGGTGCGACGTCGATAGGTCCTGGGTTCGGGTCCCGCCGGGCGGGATCGTGCGTACGTAGTACTGGGGAGTCTCGTACTAGGACAAGACTGCCGTCCAGTGCTCCCAGGTTTTCTATGGTGGTCCAGCTTCAATTGACTCATGATCTCGACTGTTTAAATCGTATTTTATCTAAATTGATCATATTACCATAGAAATATTCAACGTTAACCAACTTCATTGCTGTAAATTAGCATTGGTAGAATGAAGACAGTTTCGAATAATCAATTTGGTTTAAATAATACATCCACCTTCAAATCTAAGTTCACAGAGTGTATATTGAAACCCTAATTTTTTACATTTACTTAGATATCAGATTGATAATCCATTGAGATTATTATCATTTAACTGTATGAATACATTATATGTGTATTTCTTTTCTTCACAGGTCAATATATCAAATTCTACTGTGAGTAATTTTCATGATCTTAAACATTCCTTTTATCGATTATTTATGTCTTTGTTGTTTAAACATACATTTATGATCAACTATTCAAAAGTCATTCAATCGACAGTTTGGAATTAACTGGACGATTTGGACGTCGTAGATGACCTAGCTCTTCTGTAACCATACACATCAACAAATCCAGGTCAGGATAAACAGTGTAGCAGAAGCCACTGTATCAAATAATACAAAGAGAACACCAACTCAATCACACTTGATGGACGAACTCTGGAAGATGTGGAAAGTTTCACTTATCTCAGTATCATCATCCATGAATGTGGAAGATCTGATGCAAACGTAAAGACAACGATTGGCAAGGCAATGACAACATAAATACAAATGAAAGACATATGGAACTCAAAACAACTGTCAGCCACTATCATAGTCACAATCTTCTACTGTATGGAGCTGAAACTTTGAGAACTACCACAACAATCATTAAAACGGTAAAAGTTATTTATAAACAATGGTCTACATAATATACTCAATAACCGTTGACCGGTTACCATCAGCAACAACCTACTATGGGAGAGGACATATCAGCTTCCAAATGAAAAGGAAATTAGGAAAAGGAGATAGAAGTGGATGGGACACTGTAATAACTCGTAACCGCCAATTAGAGAGCAGCGACTTATCGATCGGACCAAGGACGCGTAAAACACGTGCGAGCAGCCTAGAGTCCTGATTGGTCCTGCTTCCCGCCTAACCCAGCCAGATAAGTTCAGAACACCAATCTAGGCCTCTGCGATGTGAATCCTTTATTTCAAACATACTCTGTTTATATACCAATCAAACAGACCACATCGTACCAACAAAATATGAAACAACATTTGTACAAGAATAAGCCAAATGTGGCTGTGAATGAGGGAGGTAGTAATTGATAGACTGGGTATAACTCAAGAATGGTAAAACGTATAATAATAGTTTATGGGTCAAAATAAAGCTTATAATAAGAGAGACATAAATATGAATAGTGTAGTTAATTAACAATTATATGATAAAAATGTAAGTATAGTATTGGTCCACAAATGGGTCCCAAAAGTTATCTTTCATTATCCCTGTCGACACATAACAGACACACATCAAGGAAATCATCAAACTGCCTCACGAGACAATTCCTAACTTGGAATCCTGAAGGACAACCTAGAAGAAGAAGGCCGAAGAACACATTACTTTGGGAATTGGAAGCAAACATAAAAAAGGATGAATAACAACTAGAAACAACTGAAAAGCATTGCCCAGGACCTGACTGAATGGAGAAGACTGATTAGCGGTTTATGCTCCTTTACAAGCGGTAACATGCGTAAGTAAATAAGCACTCACATAGGAATGAACTAAAGAACTGCAAATCTTAGAATGGTTTACAATTTCAAGGATTTATATATAAAATTTTGATCGGAAATTCATAGAAACATTGAGTAAAGTTCATTGACAGAATCGTTGAATCTTCCACTGTATGTTATTAATATGCTCTATTATTTGATTGAAGAATAAGTTCCATTAGGTCTAGACACACCTTCTGTTAAGTTTGTCTTACATTGTTCCCTTTCTACTCTTTTGTATATTGTCTTATACTACTTATTTACATTCAGTAAGCAGTTGTATTCCGAACAACTTTCACACTTATGTTGTAACTCGAGTTCTACTGTGACATTCTGAAATGTTCACATATATTTTTAACGTTCATTGTACTTATCATTGTATTTATCATTATAATCACCGTGCTTAAATTACTGTAACGGGTACCCACAGTTTTGTGCATTTGTTTAAACGCAACAGTTTCCATATTGTTTGCTCTTGGTTCGAGTTTCGGTTGCTCATAAACTGTTATCAAATTTAGACACAGCTATTAGCTGTCTTTGTACTATCGAAGCCTTTGTTATTTTCATTCTTGAAGGAAGCGTTTGAACGCCTAGACACCTCACAAGTTGAGGTTTGTAGCAAAATTTTGTGTATTATTCAATAAAAAACCGCTATTGTAGACAAATCGTTGTTTTGGAACTTCGATTTTGCGCGTATCTCAATTGGGGTTACTTGGACGCTTCGATAGAATTAACACCTTCTTTGGACTTGTTTCAGGAATCCAGTCAAAAGTTTGACTAACATCAAGTGAATTTCAACAAAGTATCACATTCCGTAAAGTTCAAGACAATAACACTGTTTGTTGCTGGCCGGTTCAGTGATCTAGAGATTAAGCGTTCGCGCGCCAAACCGATAGACCCTGGGTTAGAATCTTGTGAGACGGGGTCGTGTATGTGTTCAATTGCTGAAGAGTCCAATACTAGGACGAAACAGTTATCTATTGCTTTCAAATTTTCCATGATGGTTTAGCTTCAACTGACTCCAATCATGGTTTCATTCAATTTTACATTTTGTTTGTTCTTTTTTTTAAAAAGAAATTTACTTCACAAATTATGGTAAGTTTTTTTTCTTTCAGTAAAATGAAGTCATTCCATGTTGACCATTGTCATACCATTTGCTTACTTATAATTAACACATACAAGATGTTAGTTCCTTTTGTTGTTGGAAGGAACATCAGAATTTGACTGGAAATATCATTCCCAGTTGGGTTTTCCTTCATAGAATGATGTATGTTATATCTCGGATAAGTAGTAGGAAGGTTAGACAGATACAAGGTATTAGGGAATGATATTGGTAAATCAGTTGATGAGGTTGTGAATCTTCATCGACTAAGATGTTTGAACCACGTGTTACGTGATAAGTCTTGCTAATTGAACGCTATATTCCGTTTCTAAGCTATTCTCGTAACCTTCAAGTTAGAACTACACAGCGAACTGAACACGAGAGAAAAGGCGCAAAATATGCGAGAAGCACTTCACTCCAAAGGTTCGCTTTCTACGGAAAATATAGGGTTTTTATAGTATTTTAGATGTCCTTTGGTTTCCTGAAAATTCTGGAATGCTATTAAGCATAGTAGCAGTATAGTAATCAGCTAATCAAAAACTCTACACGTGAGTTTTCACTTTCATAATGTTTCTGGCTAAACTTCAAGTGAACGCTGATTGAATAAAATGCTTCTTAGTGTTTCTTGAGCCTTTCTTGTCTTTTGCAAGAAGTTTTCTGGATCACCCCAACTTCACATATACATGAACATCGATTACCACGACATGCAATGCTGACTAGTGTTGGGGAGGGTTGGAAGAAAGTTAGGGGCGACCAAAACAAAACGTGGCATCAGTGCTTGAAGTCACTAGCTTGTGGTATGAACAATACTGATAGATGCAGACTATTTGGTTGATGTCCGCGTGACAATCTTAACTAATGGTTGGAGAATGTAGGTTACATGTGACCGAATTGATCACTGCGAATATCTCAATTCAGTAACTCAACGAATATGCATGTCATAGTTTGATGCACATATTGCTAGATCTATTTCCTAGCGTAGACATTGGCAATGAAATCCAGGTGTGTTCACTTGATGAGCCTCAGAGTGAATGATAAATTCCACTGCTAGTTACAATTCATTCATTAAGCGAGAGTAGTTCATTCATTCAGATCATGACCCTACGAATGATTGTTATTGAAATATACATTCTGACTATTGACGTATAATCTGCTTTAGTGTATAACGGAATGAAATAAGTCGAATAGGAGAATGGATTTTTTAATACAATCATAATAAAACGATCCGCCGGATGGATCAATGAGAAAAGTTGACATGAGGACAAAGTATCAACAAGATAATACGATTTGAGTATGTCCAAGTCGTGCTGCACAGGATTTGTTGAATGCATCGGATTAGAGATTGGTCTGTCTTCGTTGAGTTTATTCATCAAAAATCTAGAGTCTAGAAGTTTGAGATGGTGGAGAAGATTTGCAGCTCATGTGGATGATTTTGATGGAGTTTTGTTCTCTGAGCTGGATGGTTTGGTCGTGGACCTTTCATCGTTCTTCCGAACGACATCATCAGCACAAACTTCGAACACTTCACTTCTATCTGAAGTTTGTGCTGATGATGATGTGATTCAGAAGAACGATGAAAGCTCCACGATCAAACCATCCAGCTCAGAGAACAAAACTCCATCACAAGTCTAGAAGTCTACTCATTGACACAGCGGTGGCGACTCAATGAAAGAATGCTTGCCTGCCATGCCGACGGTTCGGGTTTGATTCCAGCCAGACGCTCCCCCCCTCAAAAGACTATAAATTACAAGTTAATCGTCAAGTAAGTTTATTCAGAATGTCAACATTCTTTCTGATCAGTACATTTTCTCAAATAAGACAATATGTATCTTTTTCAATTGTAGGGCAATGTTGAAATATTTACTGAACTTTCTGTAAAGAAGATGAAACCATGGAATTATTTACTTCGAGACTCCTTATTATTAACGTAGTATCTTTATACTAATGTAGAGATTGTTAAACAAACACTACTTTATTCTGATTCAAATTGATTTTAACTTGATAAACTTGTCTTCATTGTAATTAATTGAATAGATTTCTCAATACTTATTATCATATTTCATTGTAAACATGACAATGTTTACTGATTGGGTTACTGATGAAGTTCTGACTTGATTAGTACGAAACATAATATAGATAATAGTTGGATATGATACCATTCTATGATCAAAATAAATATCACAAAAGGATTAGGGGCCTTTAAATTAAATCACAATAATCAATTACTTGCTTACTCCTGTTACCCCAATGGAGCACAGACCACCAGCTAGCATTCTCCAACCCACTCTGTCCTGGACCTTCCTTTCTAGTTCCATCCAATTCTTGTTCATTCTTCTCATATCTGTCTACATTTCTTGGTATAATGTGTTCTTTGGTCTTCCTCTTCTCCTTTGGCCTTGAGGATTTCAGATGAGAGCTTGTCTTGTGATGCAGTTGGGTGCTTTTCTCAATGTGTGTCCTATCCACTTCCAGCACGCAATGTTGAATCACCTTGACTGCTGGCTACATTGCAACTTGGTTGATAGCATTCAATTTGCACCCAACACATATGACACTGATCACCACCCAGTGATCAGTCAATCGTGATTGGATGCTTTTTTATCGATACTTGAAGATTTCAACAATTCCCGATATTCTCAATTGATTTGCCAAAATTCAAATGTTAACAATTATTACATAATCTCATATACTCTCATCGATTTTTACGGTTAATTTATACCTGCTGGGTGGCCAATGCTCCCTTACGAGGAGTAACAGGCATAAGTAAGTAGGTAAGTAAGTAGCACCTACCAACTTAATACTTGTTTCATTTCATATATTTCTTCAACGAATTATGAATTATACAATATACTAAATGGTATTAAATCCATTCGAACCTGTTGGGAAAGCTTTCGAGAACTACGTTAGAGCCTTCAGTGACTTTAAAGAAGTCGAAGAATTTTCATCTAATCGGAATGTGATGGAGCTTTCTAGAATATCAACGTGACATGCTACGATTGGACAGTAATATAACATGCCTCTTTGTGAATTGGCTAAATGATAATGTTGATATAACAAACGTTGATATCTATGATTTTATGTACATTTTAATTGTTACTCAACACGCACTTCTAGTTCCTCACAATTGATTGATCACTGGGTGGCGATCAATGTTATGCATGTCTAGTCCTTATTAGTGCAGTCCGAATTACATAGTGCCTGCAGTGTCGAGTCACCTAGATTGGTAGCCACATTGCAACATGATCGACAGAATTCGGTCTCCACTAATAAGGATTAGACACGCATGACATTGATCGCCACCCAGTGATCAATCAGTTGTGATTACATCTCAGTCCTATAGAGGTCAGTCGCGGCTCGGATAGCTCAGTGGTAACGTGTCTGACTGTGAAGCTGGGTGACACGAGTTTGAATCCGCCAGAGAGCACCAGTTCCCTCAAGATTACTGGTACATCTTGCTGACGAGTGCCAAATAGCACGAAACCCAGGTCCAGGGTTTCCTGTCGACTACCTCCAACCACCATCTAACTTCAACTTTCTTCTGTCTTGTGATTTACGACTATAAGAGGTTGTATACATTAAAGTGTTATAGTTGTATTACCCGTATTCTGTATGAATCAAGTAATGAACTTAACAGAATCATTGAATTGAATAGATTAGTAAAGATAAAAATGAAATGGATAAAGGAGACACATTAACATTTTATTCATTAAATTGTATTACATCATACATTACTATTGAATTTATTTGTTTAATTATTTATAATAAACTAGAATCATGTTACTATTCCACTTATTACGTAATCAAATGATCATTGTCCCATAGTTGTGAAGTGTGTACTAATGGATGAGAAAAGATAAACAATGAAATAAGTGGTAATATGTAATAGAATAAATGTGAAAAGAATAAAATGTTATATCTGACACTTTAACCGGGTTGATGGACACGGAGAGTCCACGTAGTGGAGTTCAAAAAACCCTGATTCTAAACCAATGATGTACATGAGCTCCAGTAACCTGAAGGAACTAATGAAGTATGAAACAATAATTAGTCACTGGTTATCATGGAACTTAATCTCCTGATGTTGCTACACTACCTAGTAAGTTAGACCTTTATGTTAAAGGCTCCGAATGGTAACTTTTGGGATCTATTGATGAACCAACACTAAACGTATATTTCTATTGTATGATTATTAAGTAACTAAACTATGCATGTTCATATTCCTCTTATTATAAGCTTTATTTTCACCCATAAACTATTATTATACGTTTTACCATTCTTGAGTTATACCCAGTATATTAATTACTACCTCACTCATTCACAGCCACATCTGGCTAATTCTTGTACAAATGTTGTTTCATATTTTATTGGTACGTTGTGGTCTGTTTGATTGGTATATAAACGGAGTATGTTTGAGATAAATGATTCATATCGCAGAGGATGAGAGCGGTGTTCTGAACTTATCTGGCTGGGTTAGGCGGGAAGCAGGACCAATCAGGACTCTAGGCTGCTCGCACGTGTTTTATGCATCACTGGTCCGGTCAATAATTCACTGCTCCCTAATCGGCGGTCACAAGTTATGATATAAACGTAGTCTAAAATCAACTGCTTCTAAAGTCAATTATACGCCCTGTTCAATTCAAACTGATTAAGAACATATTATATAACGTACTGTGTACTTCTCAGGATGGAAGGTAGTGATTAATGATGGTCAAATAGAAAATCCGCTCAATTTATATCTTGTAATATTTGGCACTTATTAGAAACATGTACCTGTAGCTTTGAGAGAATCGACATTCCTCAATGTATTCGTTCTAGTATCACTAACTTCCGTTTTTTTAAAGATGTAACCGTTGAACTATCCAAAACACAATGACACATTACGGATAAGTATTAAATAACATGGAACTTAGGTACCGAGATATCTTGGCGACTGCATCCAACCATTATAATATCTCATGTATATATCTGATATTTACAGATTTCTTAGCTGAACTAAGTTATATTACTGAAACGTTTAATGAGAAAAACTAATCAGTCTAACAATTATAGTGTACATAAATTCAATAACTCACAGAAATGCCTTATATTTACTACATTTCAAACGGATGAAATAAAATGTAAAAGCATAATATATTACTGAATTCTAAACTACTCATTACATAATTCTTTAAAAGTATAATTGATTACCACATTATCAGTACCTCTCAATTATCCCTTATTTTTGAATCACTTTCAAAGTGGTGATCTGTTGTATACTACTGATTTAAATAGATATAAGTAGTATGTATGATTATTCAAAAGGAAAATAGCTGATGGAAAGTTTCACTTATCTAGGTAGCACCATTAATGAACACAGAAGATCTTAGGCAGACGTAATAGTGAGGATTATCGAAGGAAGGGCTTTATTCATACAATTGAAGAACATATGCAAATCAAAACAATTTTTAAGCAACATCAAAATGAGAATCTTCAATATAGTCCTACTGTACAGAGCTGGAACTTGGAGAACTACTGTAATCATCATCATTATCAAAACAGTACATGTATTAGTAAAAAATTGTCAACAAAAGATTTCCAATATCTGTTGACCCGGAATACTATCATCAACAACCTATTGTAAAAGTAAACAAATCAATTTCCAGTTGAAGAGGAAATTAAGAAAAGATATTAAAAGTGGATAGGACATACATTGTGAAAATCATCAAACTTAATCACAAAGTAAGCACTCATATGAAATTATGAATAGAAACGGAAATGAAGAAGATCAAAGAACACGTTTCGTCAGGAATTGGATGTAAACATGAGAAGGATGAATAGTAACTGAAAACAACTGGAAAGTATTTCCCAAGTCAGATTTAAATGGAGGATGCTGTTGGGACGATCTATACTTTTCTAAAAGGATTAAGAGGAGTAATTAAATGGGTAAGTTTCTTCCTTATTTAAACTAATCAACAAGGCGAGACTCTCTTTTATGGACGAGACAATCAGCAGAGTTTCAGAGATTTCAAGGTTACGGCGCTAACTTCAGTGCTTCATGCTAACGTACGATCGGTTCATCTTACTTTACTTACTTACGCCTGTTACTCCTCGTGAAGGAGCATAGGCCACTCATCAGCATTCTCCATCCAACCCTGTTCTGGTCAATCCTTTCCAGTCCTTCCAGTTGTTATTCATCATTTTCATATCTGATACCATTTCCCAACGTAATGTTTTCTTTGGCCTTCCACTTTTCCGTTTCCCTTCAGGATTCTAAGTTAGGGCTTGCCTCGTGGTGCAGTTTGGTGATTTGCGTAATGTATGTCCTATCCATTTCCATCGTCTTTTCCTAATTTCTTCTTCAGCTGGAAGTTGGTTTGTTCTCTCCCACAGAAGGATATTGCTGATGTTATCCAGCCAATGGATGACGATCGGTTCATAGGGGATTTTATATAAAACATGATAATTAAGCAGCTATAACAAATAAAACGGCGAGACTATCATTTGTGAGCGAACCAATCAGGTATAAGCTAACAGATCTCGTATTTTGGCCTCGAAAGTCTATCATCCATTTGACTAAATAAATTTCTGGCATTATAGCTGATTTCAGTTCGTGATGAAAACCCCATATATAATGCTTAACTAAGGCAAATTATGACAATTATCGCGAACTGGATAATAGAAGTATCGGTAACACTGATTGCAGCCAGGTACTACAATATATACGGATGTTTGGAGAGCGTACGGACTCTTACACAGGCTTCGTTATGTGCATCGTGTCGTTATCCACAAGTAGCATTTTGTACACTCAACAATCGGAGTGCACACAAACAATATTGAAACTATGTGGTCGAGGCTGAAAGAGTTTTTGAAACTAGCATGATTCCAGAAGGCCGACTATTCTGTAGCCGTTTGGATGATTTCCTCTAATGCATGTGTTACCTCTGAACCTCTTTCTAACGTTGACAAGTTTTAGAACCACATATAAAAAGTGTATCCACTTTATTTCCTCGGTTTTGTATAACATATTTTTACTCTATACTGACTGTTTGCTGATTGTCTAATATTTCTCACTTAAGATTCGTTCAAGGGTTGTCCACAAATTAGAGTCTCGCCATCAACAATATATGATTGTATTAAATCATTAGATTAGCTACAATGAATTTATTGGGATATTCAGAAAAATATCTCAAAAATGATCCTGCTAAGTTTAATACTGTCCTTGAACGTGAAATGGTGTCATTTTCCTATTGTTCAATATTTATGATGATCTGTAAAGTATCATTTCTATTCTTATTCTTATTCTGATCCCATAAACATATTTCATTTACGGATCATGTTCTGGTATACTGGAGAACGAAAACCAATATTGGGGTCCTACTGGAATATCTGAAGTTGGTCAGTCGGTGGAAAATTAGAATAGTCACCACTCCGCGGTCCATAATAAAATTTCATTGAATTTTCAATGTTGGTTAAACCTATAAATTGATTGTATTAACTTGAAATAAGATTGTTATAAATGATAATAACAGAGAATTCAAACATTAACATTGATAACTTACCATAATTTACTGAATGTTGAACTGTTTAATGAAAAAGTGACGGTTAATTTATTATTATTTTTTTGAAATAAATTGAAACAAAAATATTGTAATGAGAAAGATCAATAAACTTTGATTGACATCATGAACTGATTGATGTTAGATCATCATTGAAAACCTGGAAACACTGGACCGAGATTTCTATTTCTATTACGGAACTTCTGAGCGGTACATGTGATTCGAATCCAGGACCTTTGTCATCAAGCGTAAACGCTAAATCTCTAGGCCCCCAAATGTTTTGGTACGACCGAGAGTGTGGAGGGTCAGCTCTCCCTCTCCAAATGCTCTCAAATAGCCACGCGTATATAATCTCTACCAGAAAAGTCCTACTCACTGCCTTCTCGCGGTAGGGGTGTTGTTTACGAAATTAAGAGGACGAAAAACGAATGTCTGGCAATTTAACCGAGTTGGTGGACAGGAAGGGTCCACCTAAGGCAGTTGGAAAACCCTCATTCAAAACCAATGGTTTACATGAGCTCCACAATCCTGACGGAACAAATTGAGTATGAACCAATCGTTGATCAGAGGCTACCATGGGACTGCATCTCCTTACGTTGCTCCACTGCCTTATGGATCAGACCGTTAGGTCTAAGGCTTCGACTGTAGCCCCCTAAGAAAACCACCTGCTTCGGTTTGGGCACCTGGGTAGTATCCCAGCCTACACAAAATCGAATGATTCATGTGGCGCATATGTATTTGGTGCATTCTTTTACCAATATCTATGTGTTCAAATAAATAAATAATAAATATTGGGCCAGTATCCAATAGTGTTCATGTCTAACTTCAACTAATCCATGAAATTGCACAATCATCTTTTATTATACTGAGATAGATACCTGTTTCTAATTGATATGGATTAGCTCCATTGGTCAAGGCTTTTGAATGAACATAGAACATAGGTTAGATATTAAACCTTGATTATTTATGTTTATTGAAATTATGATACACTGGCCTATTTAAAATGTAAAAGGTTTCATAGGACTTACTCAATCCATGACCAATAGGTACTTTAATGATGAAAAAGAACATGTTTAATAGGGTGTTTGAGAAAAAATATTGTGGTTATAAGCTGGATTATAACTAATATCAGAAATCAGTATACATGTTGTGTCCTCATTGTGACTCGTCAAATGCATATATATATATTTATATCCAAGTGTTGGGATTCGAAAACACTATCTTCATATCCAGCTCAGAGAACAAAACTCCACCAAAAACACTATCTTCACCTATACACTCCAAAGTATTATCTACTAGATTAATGGTTATGATGTTCGCGCAATTGTAAGAGTTTGAGTTTTCCTTTGTAAGTAGATGATTCCAAACTTGTTAACCTTCGTAGTCATAGCTGTTATAACCAACTGATAATATCTTACATTCAACAAGTTATTGTTACAAGTTTTATTGACTATTTCTAAGTAATACTAAATCGAATAACATTGACGACTGACTTTATTCTGTCCTTAGAATAATCAGCCATTTGGTTTCCTCTTACTTGAACTTTTTTATGCAATTTGTGATGATTATGTTGTCATGTATGTTGACATCATGTAGCCAGTGATGAAAGTTCAGGTTTATTATTACTTAATTAATTGATTTTTCAATCATATCTATGACTTACAAATTTAACTAATTGGAATGCAAGACCCACGTTTCGTTCTATATGGGACTCGTCAGCTAGATTTACCTGCATCTCAGAGTTGATGTTCATTCCAGAAGTCGGACTTCATCGCGTTCTCCGCTTAGTTACTAAGTCTTCATAGCCATGTACTTGTGCGATGAGGTAAGTTTAAAATCACTTGCT